CGCAATCAACGATGAAATAGCCCTGCAATTGTCACGGATCGGGTCTCGAAACTTGGGTCGTGATGACAGAGTTGTTTCTGATCACGGTTGCGAAGCACGGTATCCGTACTTGGACGAAAAAGTCGTCAAGTTTCTGTGTTCGGTACCCGTTTGGTTCAAGTTGTTGCCGGATTCTCCTCTCGGGATCGGTGACAAAATCATTTTGCGTTATCTTGCATCTGAATTGCTGTGGTTGCGGGGTACTGCTTGGGAACCCAAACGGGCGTGTCAGTTTGGGTCGCGAATAGCCAAGCTTGAAAACGCCAAGGAGAAGGGCGATCATGTTTGCGATCGACTGTGAATTTCGTTAGTGTCTAGGGAAAGTGTTTTCTGGGAATTTCATACTTTTTGAGTGACTTCGAGTTGCGGGTGATTGAGACTGGCCGGCCTTTCGGCAGATTCCTGAGATGTGTTTCGCTTTATTTTACAGGATGAATGAGTGAATTGATGCACATAAATGGATTGGATTGTGTCGAGAAGATGTGATGGGAACTAGTGCGTGGCTTTTTTCGGGTGCAGCCATAGCCCTTTGCGGATTTCTCTCAGTTTTATGGACGGAGGTTGGTTACGCTTGTGAAAATATCCTCGTTGATAGACCATCGAGAACATCTAATACATTTTTCAGCGTTCAGTCGCCAAACATCACCTGTTGCTTGATGCCCATCATCCAAAAATTCGGAAGGTGTCCGACGGCAGCCAAATCGACAATGCCTTGAACAGCTCGATAGTTTTGGTACAGGATCGCCTCGATGTTCCTGTTCCAATACAGCTGGAAGATTATAGGCTCTCGGTCCATGCCGTGAAGCTCAAACGAAGGGTTCAAATGTATCAATGGGCAGAAGTGCCCAGAGACAGGTGGGTTCCGTCCCTTTCCCGCTATTTGTCCTAATTACGATTGTGTTCTGGTTCCGCGTGGGTCTGGACCATTACTTAATTTTTGTGTGGTTGTGTTGTGAAAAATATTGTCTACTGAGAAAGACGCATTATTTAGCCTGAGGGTCATTTGTGCAAGTAAGAAAACTTTTTGAATTTGATTGAAGGTTGGATTATTTGTTGACGCCTTTGGAGGATGAATCTGGCGGCGTTGAAGACGCCATTCTCATGGCAGATGACGTGACGTATTTGAAAGAATGGAAAGACGAACTTGTAAACTTCACGGGGGAACACGCCGCTGCTCTTCGGGACATCATTTCCAATCCTTCGTGAGGAAAAATAATTTCATGCATATCTTTTCTTTTTTTTTAACTGGACGCTTTCAATCTCCAGATTTTTCCCCGTCGAAAACCACGTTTTCGTTGCCCCAGTGGTGAAAGTTGGAGCCTACGTGCTGTCGGATTATTTCAAAGAGAATTACTTCAACTACTTCCGAGAAATTACTGGGGGCGAGAGACCGACCGATCCGAACATCAAGCTTCACGCTGGGCTGTATTATCATTCAACGAACCTCTGGGACCCACAAATCGGGGATATTCGTATGAGGTTCGCATTTGCTGGAAATGGAGGACTCACTCGTGGGAAAGGAACACCGGTAATTTGCTGCCTATTTTTCTGATTGATTTTGATTGTAGGTCCTGTGTCTGAAAATTAATTACCCGCATTTGTATTCCTCATAAAGCTAAAGAACGCGAAGTTAGATCGCACAAACAAGTGGATAGTCATCGCAATTTTCAGATTGCTAAATTTGAGCGTTATCTTTACTTGCTTGTCCTGAACTCTGATTTTTCTTCACCTACACATTAATTGTCTGAATTTTCTTGGTTGTCCTTGTCAGTTTATGTATTGAAAATAGTTTATGGTTCCTTTTATTTAGTGATTCAGGTGACACCTACTCTACATCAGGTTTTACTGCGAAAAGGGAGTAACCGATAGTAAAGTTTATCGAGATTTGCGAGAGGGTTTTGATGCATATTTGTTCAACGCGTCGTTTTTTTTTTTTTTTTTTTTTTTTTCCGTCAGGTGACCGTTATCGGGCAATTGATTGGAACAACGTTGTATCCATTTGAAGACGAAAATGGAAATCTTTTCGCAATTTTGCACGAAGATTGGGACTCGTTGGACGAGATTATTCAAATTGAGAAGACGTCCAGATCGAGACCGTTTTTGGCCTACCGCCTGCTGGGATTCGGTGTATTCATTTTCGGCACCGTCTGGATTTTAATTACTTTGGATCATATGAGTACGTTTGAGCTGCTTGTGTCGCACACTTGACTAGTTTTTCCCTGAAATTCTTTGAAGGTATCCATTTTAAGTTGGGTCCCTACTGGTGCAGTTCATAATTTTCATAAATGTTGAGAAAAAACTTGCGATCCGTGTTTTTGTACAGTGCTAAATTTTTCAAATGGCTCCTTTCTTGTCATCGTCAGTTGAAGCCTACAGTTCGATCTTGAAGCCATTCAAAGCTCGATTACTGTAGCATCACGGCGGAAACTACTTGATGGAATGTCAACCGAGATCTGATATCCTCTAACCTTCTCTTAAACTCACCTGGCCTCGTCGAAATCGATTCAGATTCAATGTCTGAAAATTACCTGTCCCGATACGGTCATTGAAATAATTACATGCTCGTAAAAACGAAGCGCGAGGGACCTTAGAAAAAGCTTCGTTATAAACGAACCTAAAATAATCGTGGCTATTGGACAAGGACCAAACAAAAAATTCCTTGTAAGCATAACTTTTTTGTAACGAGATTCTACTGTACCATGTCGAAATTTAGGCGAAGTTCATGTAATGGCCAAGAAAAATCGCAGATCAATGTTAAATTGAGAGGAAGCCGGAATTCATGGTAAGGCCGTTTACATTAATGTTAACCAATAGTGCTTAATTCGACGAAATCTGCATGGATAAACTTCAGTTTGCAAATTACTGTATTTAAAATTGTCTTCTATTGAAACTTTACTCCCAAGCCCTAAATGACAGGACTCTTGATTGAAATGTTCAATCTATTGAAAATAGTCAAATACTGATTCCATGTTCGTTCTTTGTTGTTGTTAGATTAACCCGAGTTTTGACCTGTTGATAGGTTTACAACTGATGTTCGCGTGCGGTGTGATGTCAGTCGGAGTTTCATGGATTCTCCACTGGCCTTTCCATGGACTTGGGCTTCTGATCCTGGCTGGTATCAACTGGTACCAATTTTTATAACGATGGAGGATCGACCGTGACGATGGCAACCCCGATTAATCGAGTGTTCCATTTTCCTTTAACCTCGCGTTTAGGAATGAACGAAATGTACAATGAAAATGGAATATAACCTGTACCTAACGTAATTAACTCAATTGTTGAAAGCTATTCAGAGTTTTCTGCGTTTGATTCTTTCAAGTATGAAGTAGGCTAGTAGGGTTATTTGAACGTGAGCAGGGAAGACGCGGCATGGAACATGGGGTTGTTCTCGATATAGCCTCACATTTTTTGGGGGAACAAGAGCGAAATAATGGTTCCAGACTTGTGTGAATATATTTCCTTTAGACATGATGGTGATCAAATACATCATGTGCAATGCTTTTCAATGCAAAGTAACCAGATTCATGCGGTAGGAACTCGTTGTAGTGTGAGTCGTGAGGCTTTTTTCAGTTCCAACCAAATTTGTCAGCAAATAACCGAAGTGTTCTGTTTTTGTGTTTTACTTTTAAACTATGCGCTTCGTTGGAGTGATGTTCATTGATTTGTGTTCATGATCTTAACGTGTGTTGAGCTTCTGGGTAATATACCGCGTCATTTTTTAGTCATCGTTTGTTTATAATTTTTTCTTTTTTTGGAAAGTACAGGAATTTTTTTTGTTTCAGACTCATGCTGCTACCCATTTTTGTTTCAGGCAGTGGACACTAATTCTGATGAATTATTCTAGGAAAAGTTATTGTTTTTGATAAAAGTCGAAGTTACTCTGACCTCTAGGACATGCTCTTGTCAGTATGATTTTTCAAATTGACAATACCCCATCGATATCCTTACGTTGAGGATTTCTCTTTTTGATTTTAAATGTGAACTCATCTTTCCATTGAGAAAAACATTCTTCTTTGTTACCTTCGTGGAAAGCCTTTAATTTTGGACTCAAACGAGAAATGAATTGTATGTCGCTTGTCTCGTATTTCTTTTCGTTTTTTATAATTGTCATGCAGATGCGAAGATATCGTCAATTCTTTTTTTGAAAGTGTTGTCGAAAGTAGAGTTGAAAATGTATTTGAATTACAAATTCTCTGAAAAGATGCATGTTTCTGATTTGATAATGGAAAATGTTGACGCATATTTAGTTTGAGCCTCATCATTTATGCTGTTGATGAATGGAAACGGAGAATTTGAGAAATTAAATACTCAACTGTAGGCGTAAAATGCTCGAAAATCGTATGAAGCAAACTGGTTTCAGCTTGATTATTTGTGAATCTATCCGAAGTTTTGTGGCACTCATCGCAATTTTAAAAATTCTGTCAAGTATTATTTGCCCGGATTCCAACTCGTTGATAGGATTTTACGTTCGAGGGGAATTTTGTAAGTACAGTATAGAAAGTAACGCGCGCGAATACTGTAAAACACAGCAATGAAGCACCGCCGATGCTTTCTTTTACTTCGAAGACACCAAAATCAGGATTGTTTTCATTTCTCACGACACAATGAAGACAAAAAAAGAAGACAAGCTTTA